ACACATTTCATTACACCAAATACACAAAATAATGTTCTTTTTAGCAACATCATATGACCCCTTTAACATAGCCACTTATACTAACCAATGTAATTAAATCTCTTAATAATAAATAATTCATTAGGTTTCATTAAAGGCACAATATGTAATTTTTTGCCACTGGAGGGCGCGTATTCAAAACAAACAAAGAAACAAAGGCATAGTTAGATGACGCTGTGACTGAGTGTGGAATCATGGGAGTTGTCATCTTCATCCCCACAGCCGACGCAATCTGACGGGACTCAGGCAGAAATTATGTTCATGGATGAGCTAATGTATTAAAGATTTATTAACGTCGTAGTATGAAGCAGAGTGAGGCGGAAAGCCGTCGAAGCAAAACGAGGCCGCTGAACGAGTGTGACACACGGCAGCGGAGCTTTTATTATGCCACAGTCGAATGCTTCCGCTCCTTCCGGAAAGCAGCGGAAGTAAGCCGCGCTGTTTTATCATACTAGATACATTTGAACGTTCTGTTATAAAGCTACTCCGTGCGGTCGTCACCTGTCTAATAAAATGCATAGCATATTAAAGCATCTTTGGTGTTTCCATGTTTTCTACAAAACAAAACCAGAAATCGAGGGGTTATGACGTCATTGGCAGGCGACACAATGACACTATGGACACGGTCCGTGTCACTAGTTAAAATAGCTTATTTCTCTGGATTTAAACATTCTTCGAAACATTTGGGATAATGTAAGTATACAAGTCAGCAAAATATATAAAACTTTTCTAGTGGTTTTTGGATATTTAAAAAAAAAATCTTACATATTGTGCCTTTAAGTTAATGTTCACATTTTGTTCCACTCTTGCATCAAATAAGATGTTTCTTTCAAACACTTGTTTATGGATGATTGTAAATTAGTGCTGCTGGTTTGTAATGCTTTAAAGATATTTTGTGGATGTGAAAGTGCTTTCTTCACATTATTCTGAATTTCTTGTGTTTTTCTGTTGTTCTGTTACCTTGTCATCAACTCCTGACCTCAAGTGCCTACATGTGGGTGGTTGCTTGTAGTGGACTAGTAAGTATAAGATGGCTCAGTTAAAATTGCATCATGTTAAATTTCTGTGTTTACTTGTTTTCATTTGTAATGGTCTTTAGTAAGTATGATTACATGTGTATGGTGAATTTTTTTTTTTTAGGGGGGGAGTGATAGCCGAGATAGTGGATTTTACTGATAGCTAGGTTGGACCACACTGGCCGATACCGATTAATCAACCGATAGTTTTAAAAATAGATACTGAACAAAAACTAAAAAAGTAATTTACTATTAAAACAAATTTATACTGAACCATACTTTGTACATTAATTATATATTGATCATTAAAGTTAGTTCATTAACTAATGTAAACAGATGTTTTATGTATACTCTCACCCTTTAATTGCTTCTATTCTAGAACACGCGATGATTATCTAATTAAAATAACAAATATTTTAGTCACACACTGGGCAAAAGCACAGCGCCGCGTCTAGAAGAACTCGCAGGTATCACACACACACACACACCGGACGCTAGGGCTGCACGATATTGG